AGGGTTCTAATAATAGGACCAAACAGCTCTTCAGTATTCCTAAAAAGAAAACCCGAAAATCGGAATCGTGGGATAAAACGAACTTGATTTTTATCAAACAATGAATGTCTCTTCTTAATTCTTTTGCTATTTTTCTTTTTCATGTTGCATACAATGTCTGCTTTTTTTGCAACAGAGTAGATAGATGAGCGGATAAACACAGTTGGCAGTATAGTCGTTTTTGTGTCATTAAGCGATAACATCTATAAAAACTAAGATGCATGATAGTAAAACTCCAAGTGATTTGTTATTTTAGCCGCTTACAAAGATGACAGCGATAGTAAGAATAACAAAAGTAGTAATAATGAATAGTTTTCGGTCAGTTTTGTCGGCAAATGTACATATATATATATATATATATTTATGCTCATCCCTTTACATTTCGGTTAGAAGTAGCATAGGTAGTGATTTCGCGGGGATTAGAGTTGCTAGCCTCAAGCCCAACTTTTCTTCTTTTCCAGGCCTACTAATGGATAGGTGAGGTGTGGGAGTGTGCAGACCAGGAATCGAACCCAGGCGCCTCATCATTAGGCTTGATGATATCTTCAACACTCAATATATTAGGAAGTTAGCAGTGTCGGTGCCTGTTGACGAAACATAAAAGGATAGGGAAACATCAGTTATGTCAAACTTTCATTTAGGCGCTACACATCACCTCCTTCATTACTTTTATCCTCTTGTCTGAAAGAGTTGATCTTATACACATACCAACACAATCATTTAATGCTATTCAGACCAGAGATCAAGTCTATCTGCCTAATAAATCGAATTAATTATAAAAAACACACCAAATGGTCAAAATCTATCTTGCCTTGGACTTCAATTTCAAGAGCGTAAACTAACCCTCAGAAGACATGACAAGTATTCCAACACATCATTGCATGTAAACAACTGTGGACTATGGACACCAGTTTCACTGAGAAGATATAGAAGCTCTAAGTAGCGGAAATCACACAAATGCCAGAGAACTTGAACGAGCATGGTGCTCAGATGTGAATATTCACTCAACAGACAAATGAATATAGAAAGAACTTACCAACCAGTAATGAGCGAAGGCGTCACATAGGAAGAAGGAAGCCGAATTTCAGTTGAATGAAATGATCAACTCTCCTACAATCATATCATTCATGGGAAACTTCAAAACATTCACTTTATGCTGACGACGGGCCCATATGAGGAAATTAAGAAGCCCGTAGACACAATAATGAATAAGATTAAAAAATCCACAGCGGAATTAGTATGCAGAATGAAGCCGTCACTGGGTGAGTCTAGATGGTTTAATTTAATGCCTAAAACTAATAATGCTAGTAGGATGTATGGTACTATTAAAATACATAAGCCAGGTTATCCCATAAGACCAACAGTAGATTTTAGGAATACCCCTACTTATGAATTATCAAAACACTTAGCTCTAATATTATGCCCCATTAGAAATCGTTCAAATTCTAGACTAACTAATTCATATGAGATGAAAAATAAACTAAATGACATTCAACTAGACAATGATGAAACAATGGTTAGTTTTGATATAACTGGCCTTTATACCAATATACCAATCAATACGGCCTTGGAAGCAGTTAAAAAGGAACTAACTACAGATGCTGAACTCAATCATAGAACAAAGCTGTCCATTGAAGAAATTATTTTAGGAATTCAGCTATGCCTCACATCTACTATATTTAGATTCCAAGGCAAAATATATAGACAAACTGAAGGTGTAGCAATAGGATCACCAATATCCCCTATCGTAGCAGATATATTTATGGATAGCTGGGAAAATATGGCTCTTAATACATTTAATCCTACTCCAAAAATATGGTGGAGATATGTGGATGACACTTTCAAAGTGTTAAAAACAGAACAGATCTCTAGCTTCTTGACACATATTAACTCACTAGTGGAGGGGATAAAATTCACATTTGAATCGGAAGATGAACAAGGAGAATTAACCATGTTAGATTGTAAAATAAAACGAATAGAAGAAGGTAAACTTCACACTAGTGTGTATAGAAAACCAACGCATTCTAATAGATATTTAGATTTTAATTCGTCGCATCCGTTAACTGTTAAGGCAGGCTTAGTTAAGTGTTTAACAAACCGAGCCATAGCACTAAGTAGCACAAAAAAGATTTAAATTATGAAACAAATCAGATAGAATAGGCGTTGGTTTTAAACAACTATCCTCTAAAATTCATTAGGAAAATTGAAAAAGACCAAAAGAAAAAGAAAATGAATTGTGAAACTAGTAATAATGACATAAATAAGAGAGAATATAAGTCATCTACAGTTATACCATTTAAAGAGGGGACATCTGAGCCCCTCCCTACGTAGGATTCTCAATTAAGCAGGAATTAGGGTGGTGGCATTCAAACCTACAAACTCACTCAGGTAGGACAAGCTCTGTAGGTTAAAGGACCCAGTTGACCCAATTAGACAAAATAATATAATTTACCAAATACCCTGCAATGACTGTGGGTAAGGTCAACTACATAGGTCAAACTAGTAGATCGGGGGTAATCAGATTGTCGGAACATAAGAATTTAGCCAAGGTAAGAATGGTTGACCCAGAGAAGATAAGTAATTTAGAAAAAAGCTCAGCAATTGCAATGCATGCAATAACACACAACCACACAATAGGGTGGGAGAGGGTTAAGATTCTAAGAAGTAATCTATGTAGTTGGAGAGACAGGTTGATTACTGAATACTGGTTCATTGAATCTACACCCAAGACATTCAACAGAAATGACTCAATGCAAATACCAGAAATATAGAAGATATTTTTACCCCCGGTCAAATCAGAAGAGGATAATAAATAATCTCAAAATTCTATTTCAATTAAGCACATCACAACATTCTAAAAAGTTACTTATTATGACTATAAAAACACTCGTCTTATTTCCCATCTGATTGTACCTGACCAATAACACTCATATTATTATTTCTCAATGTACATTATCACATATCGTTTTTTATTCCAATATCTAATCGATTCCACACATGTATATAAATGAAGGAAAGAATTTATGTGAGTAACTTGATATGATTATGAGCAATAGTTTGTGCTCGAAACGTCATCAGTTAATATTACTGTGTTTTGTCGGCAAATGTACATATATATATTAATTAATTAATTATAAAAAACACACCAAATGGTCAAAACCTATCTTGCCTTGGACTTCAATTTCAAGAGCGTAAACTAACCCTCAGAAGACATGACAGGTATTCCAACACATCAATACATGTAGAAAACTTGTGGACTATGGACATTTTGACTGAGAAGATATAGAAGCTCTAAGTAGTGGAAATAATACAAATGCCAGAGAACTTGGACGAGCATGGTGCTCAGATGTGAATATTCACTCAACAGAAAAATGAATATAGAAAAAATTTACCAACCAGTAATGAGCGAAGGCGTCACATAGGAAGAAGAAGGAAGCCGAATTTCAGTTGAATGAAATGATCAACTCTCATACAATCATATCATTCATGGGAAACTCCAAAACATTCACTTTATGCTGACGTTTAGATTGAAGGTGTTGTCTTAGAAGATGATGATTGCTTCACAATTAAATCATCCAACTCAGTGGAGACAACCACATTAAATAAACATACAAGTAATTTATATATGTGCAAACCAAGTTCACTTTTAACAGTTTGAAAAAATTTGGGCATTGGGTATATGATATTCATTATAATAAAGGTTAGAGTTTTCTTTAAAACATCAGACACACTATGAAACAACCTTTTCCATATAAAAGACCAGATCCCTAAAGATTCTCTATCTAATTGTGTCTATAAAATAAAATGCTTCCTTTAAGTGTGATGCGATATACATCGGACAAACCTCACCAAAGAGAAATCAAAATCAGAAGAAATGAACACCGTAGAGCATCTTTTCGACCACCAAGAAATCCAATTGAACTGGAAAAACTTGAAAAATCATCAGCCATAGGTCTACACGCGGCGCTATAGAATCAGGTCACAAAATTGATTTTGACAATATTGAAATAATCCAGAAAAACTTCAGAAATCATAAAGAACGTCTAATATTAGAAGCACTTTTTTTTTAGATGGTTGGAGGCAATCGGCAGGAAGCCTTGGACCTAGGTTTCGTGCTAGTTGGCACTCATCAGCAAGGCGTATCTGCAACCTTGAAGGAACTGATGTCCCTTCTGAGATTCGAACCCGCGTCACCCAGTGCTGCAGTCAGAGACGTCGCCATTACGGCGAGCCACCTAGCATGGTGGCCACATTGCAAACATGACTGATAGAATTCAGTCTGCACCGAAGATAGGACTAGACACATGACACTAGTTACTGACTAGTGTTCAATCAAAAATATTAGAAGCACTTCATATCAAGTGGAATCCAAATTGTCTGAATAAGAATGATGGACTAAAACAGAATCTGACCTGGTTACAACACCTCCCTTTCCCATGAAGTGACAAAATCAACACAAATGTGATATGCAAGTTCACTATGTAAACACACACTGCCTTTATAATTTTCCTCACTGATCAAATCCAACAATCTACACTTGGTTTTGTTATCTTTACCAAAATGACCAACTTGACAACGGAAAGTGACCCCAGACTGACGAACGATGATCAAGTTAGTAAACTTTGTTTTGATACCGTAACAGATGTACTCTTACCTTTGTTATTTGGTTTAGTGATCTTCATTGTTATTTTGACTTTCAATATGTCCTTTTAACTTGACCTAAGTAGTCTATTTTCTCACCCCTCAACTCTTTGTTTTATATATGCTGAGATTTTGTAAATTCCGGTTTAATAATACCACTTTGATAAAGCTATTAGCATTAAAAAGCGAAACGTCAGTAAAAACAACAATATCGTTTTGTTTTTCATTCATAGGGAAATACAAAACGCCTTTATTATAATAAGAAATACAAGTAATTTCATAACAAATCCATGGATTTAATGAGAAATTAATAAACTTACTTTGCCAATAACCATCCTGGTCGAACATGTCGATCAGTAGCCCAGAGAAGGACAAGTCCAATGAATAATAAACCGATACCGGTTATAACAAGTAGATAATGTGTGTCCAAGCAACAATAACATGCTGTAAAACGACCAGTTCCATTGTCAAAGTGTAAAGAAGTTGGCGGATTACTACTTTGACTAATATTCATGCCTGTACCTGTAGGTGATTTTCTTTCACAATCATTTATACGAATTGACTGGTTAACAACCATGGTTTCATTGTAATTTCTGGTAGGAGATGTTGGAAATTGCTGTTTAGAAAAAGAAATATAAAAAAACAATGAAATCCATGTATGCAGATATTAAGGCTTATTTTGTTGCATAAGGCAGGGTGTCAATGGACGTGAACATTGAACGTTTGTTTTATTGGAACTGGCAACCATTGGTGGGCAATTCGAAGGCGCGAATGGAACGATCGCTTGCAAGTTGGAAGAAGGTGGAAAGAACACGAATAAAAGTACCCTATAACTTCATTTGTACTTAACATTTGTTTGCAGACTTTGTATTTTGTCTCGCTTTAATTGCCAAACAATATAATTTCGTTCAAGGAATACTGGTGTTTTGGATTTAAAGTTGAGATAAATACATAGTATTTATCGGTTCAAAACGAAAACGTCTTCAATAGAATAGGAACTTAGGGCTAAGTTCCTTGACACAGGGGTTGGTATGAAAAAAGCGGATGCATTCCGTACACTTTTAGGCATGGAGTGTATTCCCTCTTCAAGAAGGAACTAATGGATGAATTTCTTTCCTCTCCTCCGATTTAAATCTTCAATATGAGTGGTACATCGAAAATTAGGGTTCAAATTTTGTGAAAGACTCAATAAAATAAAGGTGGATATTATTTTCCTGAAAAATAAACATGCAAAATACAAATCTGTCAAAGTGAACAAATCAAAAGCCCCCAAGGAAAGCACAAAGAAAATCACCCTACTATGAATAAAGGACATCTCAGAAATCACTACAAGCCTCTTCAAACCTTTTGGAGTTGGCATCGCACACAAACCAACAAAATCACTTCACTCAGCTGGCTCTGTGTCAACCAAAAGACTCAACAAAGAAAGAAGATAAAACCAACACCATCTACAAAATAAATTGTAACAACTGCAAAAAACACTACATTGACCGAAGCGAACGTCCCCTTCGTCTTCATATCCATGAACATAAACTAGCCGTTGAGAGACATGACATCCACTCCCTCGTTCATTTCGCTGCATACAGACGATCACAGAAATAAATTCGACTGGGACAACCAAGTTCAAATACTAGACAGAGGAAACATCAAGAATGCTAGAGAATTCTTAGAAGCTTGGTATTCTATTGAATCACCAATCAATAGACACATCAAGATAGACAAAATTTACCAATCGATAAGAAAGAAATCTCCCACACAGAGGGTCAAAGTTCAAGTCGAGGAAACAATCAGTTCAAATACAAGTAGCCTAGATGGTGTGAAAACACACAAAAGCAACCAATCACGTTCAAAGTCACCAAGAGAGATGACCAATAAACTCGTGAAGGAATCTAAAAGCTCACTTGAAATTGAAATATGCACTGAAGATGTTGCCTAGTAGGGCAATGAAAGCTTCTCAAATAAGCTATCCGGCTCAGAGGACACAACTACATCAAAAGGTGAATAATAATCATTGATAATATCAAACCACTCTTTGATAAAAGCTGTAGACAGCAGGTAACTTGATTCAGGGGAGAATAAACAAAAAGTTGAGAGAGATGAAATAGTACTGGGACAAAAAGCAACTGAATCAAGAACCAAAACAAATTGAAAAAAACCTTGTACTACTGATTGTTCGAAATGAGTAGTTGCATACCACTCACATGAAGCATTAGTACTTGCCAGCCAGATCAAGGTGATCTAAACACTGGCGACCATTTCGCCTGTTTGCCATCGAGCACTCCGGTGCTGAAGAGAACGGGAGAGAAATATCTACTGCCTGTCTTCAAGAAGAATGAATACTCGAATACTTGAATAGAAATACCAACGAGAAACCATGCTCAGGGACCACAAGAAAATTCACTTTACCATATGTAAAGAATATCTCTGAAATGGCAGCCAGAATAGTGATACCATTTGACATAGACATAGCACACGGGCTCACACGATTACTTCATTCTATATTGCGCAGAGCAAAGGATCCAACAACCAAAGAAGATATACTTAATACCATTCACAAAAGTAAATTGCATGAGCTGCAATAAATACTAAAAATTGGTCAAAGTGGGTGTCCCCTTCCTTCAACTCAGAATACAAGATCATAAATTAGCTGTGGAAAGATATCACATGTGTTTATTTCATATCAATGCATGTAGATGGTCACCGACACTAATTTGATTGATTGGAAGCATACAGAAATTTTAAACCATGGAAAGGCGCCAGGGAATTTCTAGAAGCTCGGTACGCAGATAATTCTGCAGTTAAAAAATAGAAAACTTCGACTGGAACAGGCTGGATTCAGGAGAAACAAGTCATGCATTGATCAGATCGCCACATTACGGATCATCATTGAACAAAGCTTGGAATGGAAGTCACCTCTCTATCTCAACTTCATCGACTTTGAAAAAGCCTTCGACAGCGTCGATCGAGAGGTGATTTGGAAACTACTTCGGTACTACGGGGTGCCACCGACAATTATACATCTCATCCAACAGCTGTACGACAATGCTGCATGCCAAGTAATCCACAACGGGAAACTTACGGAGTCCTTCGAAGTGAGGACAGGAGAAAGACAAGACTGGCTGGCTGACTACTATCACCAATGATTTTCCTGATTGCAGTAGACTGGATAATGCGACAAACAGCGGCGGGCAATGAGGAAACAGGCATAAAATGGACTCACACAAGGAACCAGCGTGGAGGATCTGGACTTCACCGATGATGATATATGTCTGATTTCCCACAAACTGGAAGATATGCAAGCGAAAAGCAACAAGTTGGCAGAAGAAGCATCCAGAGAAGATAGAACTTTAGGTGAACATAGAGAAAACAGAGGTGATGAAGATTCCTGGGCAACACCAACAGCAACAACAACAACAGACAATAATCAGCATAAATGGGAGGAACCTGAAAGAAACAACCTCTTTTACCTACCTACCTACCTGGGAAGCATCGTTTCAACTACAGGCACACGGAACTGACGAGGATATCAAAACAGCGAGGATCGGAATAGCAAGACAAGCTTTCAATACTCTCAAGTCTGTGTGCAGGAAGTCAACAGCACTCACTATCAAAACGAAGGTAAGATCCGGATTTTCAACTCCAATGTGAAGTCAGTCAGTGCTACTCACTATACGGATGGATCAGAGACTTGCACTGTGCGTCATAAAGAGCATCTCATACAAACTACAGACATTCGTTAACAGTTGTCTTCACTCAATACCACTCAAGATCAGATGGCCGGCCAGAAAAGATTTCTGGGAGCGAAATGAACAGGAACTGATTGTGAAAGAAATAGACAGGAAGAAATGGAGATGGATTGGATTGGCCATACTCTGAGGAGACAATCCATCAAGTGACATCACTAGACAAGCCATCGCTCGAGTGGAACCCGAATGAATGGGAATTGGCGAGTTGGTCGTGAGTGCGAGGGTGGGTGACTTGGAGGAGGTGATGTGAAGAGGAGATGAAAACGTGTGGGCAGACTTGGAGCCAGGTGAAGACTCTAGCAGAGAATCGAATGCAGTGGAGACGCGTGGCTGAAGCCGTATGTTCCTCTAGGAATTAAAGGATGCAATAATAATAAAATAATAAATTAGTCCTTACAGGTCATTGTTTGTCACCTGATATTTTCTCACTCGAGTAAAGCAGAATGTACTTGACAGAGAACAGTTGTTTTTAGTATTCAGTCGAGTTACCTATTGATTTTAAATTCGTTATGTTCCTTCGGACTCATATATTTCAGTTTACCTTTATTGTTATGACTTGACAACATCAGATTCGGTGGGTCAATGATAGAGTGCTCGTGAACCATACGCATGGTTTGGATTCGTTTCCAGCCAACGGACTACCGAACATGGCCTAGCCTATAGTCAGTTCCGTAAAGATGTAAGCTTAGGCGTGAGGCTAGAAATTCGACTCTGTAAACAGGTCACTGCCAATTCTGAAACTCAAAAGTTCAAGAATGAAGTTCACTACTTCACTTAGAACGCATAGTAATAATCAATAAAGAGTTACAACTCCAGTCTCTGTACATTCCGGAGTCCCCAAGAAAGGAAACAATAGAATAGGCATCTTAGAAATAGAAGAAAACTTTGAACAGAGTAAAATACGACATACATTTGACACCGAATGATGATTAGATTCACGTATACTTGATGAACACGATGTAGGATGAAGAAATGGTGTAGATCCTACTGGCAGTGGAATCCGTTTAGGTGATCTTATATTCTGTTGAAGTTGATAATGATAGTTGGATGGATGACTTGGAGATGTCGAGTGTTGTTGTTGTATTTGTGACTGCTGTAGAGATAGGGATTGAGACTGTCGGTGTTGTTGTTGTTGCTGCTGCTGCTGCTGAATAGTTGAAGAATCGAATGATTCAATCATGACTTGTGAATTCTCATGTAGTGAATGATTTCCACTGACTAATCGAGTATCACCAAACCATATATTATGCATAAAATTAAATGTTTGAAAGCATCTGGCTAATATAATGATAGCGTCTAATAAAAGTAGCAGAAGACGAACTTGTGTAAGTGTTAGAAAATAGGCGTTTGTATCACTCGACATGAGATTACCGCTTTTCTTTGTCACAGCTGTTGCGAATCTGTGATATAAAGGAAAATGAGAAAAAGGAAGGCAACACTGTGAATAAAACAGCCAGATGTCTGTGGTACATAATTATATCGAGGATAGCTCTAGTAACCAGCCATACTTACGGTAGCATGAGAAGACATAATTTGTCATTATCACTTTAGAATAACACATTTAAGCGAACAATATTGCTGTTTTCAATTAGATCTCATCAGGCTTAACTCTAATATATATAAGTTTACAAATAAAAATCCAAATATAAACCAACCATGGTGTTTTGTCTATAGGATAATACGATGGTGAATATAAATTGTGCAATTAGCCATAATAGTAGTAATGATAATAATAATAATAAAAATGGTCTTATCAATAATAAGGATAAAAAAGTGAGGCAATCTGTGATAACACGAATAATGAAAAACAGCATGATTAAACAAACAACTGTTCAGGTGGAAGTAGTCAATAAAGGCTAGTAAAAGCAAATGAACCAATTTAGTAATGTTAGATTGTAAGGGAAGGAAATGAAACACGTTTATATTGAAGATGTGATGAGATTAAGAGATGATAAGAAAGGGGTTGAAAATATAAACAAGGGGTGGTGTAGGAGTTATTAGTTGGTTATGTCCTAATAGGTCAAGGGAGGGATATTGGCTGTACGAACTTTTTTGAATACATACTTTAGGTTTATTAGTTCGAATGCCTATCGCCTCAGCTGTGTGAAGTAGACGAATACGAAGTCTACTGGAAAGATTCGGTGGGATACGATGAACTACTTTGAAGGCTCTCGTTTTCTCGATTACATGACCACTATCAATTAAGTGTGACAAAATTGAGCTACGAATTGTTTTTGTTTGTCCTTTGCCAAACCACGATGATAGGAGATGTTCACTAACACGTTGGCTAAGCTGTCTAGTAGTACGCCCAATATAACTGTCACCGCAGATGCAGTTCAAGTGATAAATGCACATAGATGTGGCAAAACTATCAAGCTTATCCTTCGTTTGCGTCCCAATCATTCGTCGGCTAGAGAATGACAATCATAGGTGTGCTGCATAAAATGTTATTCGTATACTCCTTGAAAGTCTTTGGAATAGAATCTCACTTGATAAGTCACCATTAAATTGTAACTTAATAAATAGAGGTTTCTTACGTGCAGTCAGAGTCTCCAGTTTTTTCTCCGATGTTTTCATATATTTCTTTATGAAACTACTCGGATAGCCAATCTCCGTTAAGGAATCGTGAATATATTCAAATTCCTTTTGTAAGAGGTCCTCCGTACGTATCTTTCTTGCTCTGCTCGCAAGGCATTTTACAACATTCCTTTTATATTTAATTGGCATGTAACTAAGGAAGTGTGTGTATTGCCCTGTGAAAGTGCTTTTTCTGTACACTTTTCTCTTAAGTGACCCATCTTCTCTCCTACTTAGCAAGACATCACTTTAGTGTCTAGTTAGTTTTAGAATAAGTAGTATTAATGCCGTCAGTGAGTATTCGCCCTGGCGCCTGACACAGTGGACTCCACGACTAGTGACTGGCTACTTGTAAGAAGTCAGTCTACCTGGTCGAGCTGGTGGTTGGACTAAAGTCAAAAATTGGAACATTGGACAGGATCCCTTTGGCTGAATGGTCTATGAGCTCGCCTTGTAGAGGGAAGGTCCAGGGTTGAAAATCCGGTAGTTGTGTACTGATGATGAGACCCAAACTATGACGAAACAGCTGCCCAGTACTCTGTTGTTAACAGTGGATCTCGAACTGATCCCGATCCTTAAACAAACTTGAAATAAATCAAATCCTTGCAAACTAACTCTTGAAAAGTGATTTGAAATTTGATCCTTCGTGTAGAATGACTTTAGGCTGTTCACAGGCAATTTTATACAGCTGGTGTGGAAAACATATGAATAGTTGTTGTTTCTGTAGAAAAGAGTGCCAAATCCTCAATGTATTCTCTTTTCAGAATATTTCATAAGGCCAAATATACAATAATATTTAGCTGAGATTTAGAAAAGCCATCAAAACAAAACTCACTCCAAGTTCGCATTCACAATTTCTCCCTAATTTTAGAAATATATTTCCATTTGATATTCTTATAACCCTTTAGTCTATTTAATTACATAAATTCCAAGTATTAAACTGTCATTTCAACAGGGTTTACAATGGAAACTCATTTATCAGGGAATCAGTTACGTATGTCATTGTGAATACCGGTGGGAGATGATTTTGAAACATGTTTTTAAATGCCTATATCTTAAGTTAGATAAGCGAACTGCACAATACCTCATGTTACATTATTCTGTTATTATTTCCTTGGGGCTTGAGCAACACATCTCCTTTTGACTCTGTTCACTGCAGTACTTTTAGCTGGCTTCACAAACGCTCATGATCTCTCTTCTCTACATATGTCACGCTTCAAACAACGTCCAACTTACCGTTCCTCAGTCGGATTTCACTTCACGGCTTGGCACATGATGTCACTTAACGACCTCTAAAGCATCCTCATTTCGTTCTAAATATCTGCTGGGCAACAGTTTTGTGTTTGGTTTGTCTCCAGACTTCATTGTTGTTAATGCTTTTTGTATGGCCATCTTATCTTCAGAATTCAGACAAAGAAGGCAGCTCTGTTGATGAAAGTCTGAGGCAGCTTTTTGGAAATGCATTTTATGGCGTGTGCACTATGTATTTGATCCTTGTTAGAAGAAATGATCTGACATTACTGTGGAAAATCTAAATCTGTACTTTGACCTAAGTGCAGCAGATTCCTACACACGTGTTTCTAATTAATTAATGTTCGTCTTGATTTTCCGGTCCTGTCTTTTTCATTCCCATCCAAGCAGCTAGCTTATAGTAGGTAAGTGAAAGTGGTGATCTCGTTCAAATATCTCCTGTCAGTAGTAGTCACTGGAGCTTGCTGCTGTTGGCTGAGTATCTTTTTCCCTTTTATCCTCTCTATGTTCACTTGCAATCCTGTTGTCTCTATCTGTTTCTGTTGTTAGTTTGTTGGTTTTCGCCTGTGGGTGTTCAACAATGGGTGATATCAGACAGAAATCATTCAGGAAGTCCAGATCATTTCTGGCGTCGATTTCAGACTGTTAGAGGGAATTAAAGGAAGGATTCAAAACTGCACTTTCGCTTGTATTGACACTCATCAGGAACACATGCCTTAAAACTTGGAAGTACACTGACGTTCTGGTGCCACCTAGTGTTTTCAGATCAGAATTTTTTGCCAATGAGCCATTTGGACCATGGGTGACCTCCTGTAGGAGGGTAATGAATACAGTAATTTGTAATCGGAGAGTAACCTTTATTATGTCTACCTATTTAATCCTTAGTGCTGACTCAGTGCTATTGAAAGAGTTTGGGTAAAATGTAGCTTAGGCTCTTATCAAGGATCAAACCCGACAATAATTAAATCTCAATAACTTTCGTGAAGTAAAATCAAGTATTGGAAAAATGTACGAAAAGTTAGGGTATACTCATTCAATTTCTTTAAAATAGAGTAAATCTGTAGTTAAGTGAATATTATCAACCGTTTAAACACCAAAGTCAAATCAGTACTGCTATTTGGTTCAGAGAGTTGGCACGCTCGTCACAAAAAGCGTTTCCAACGGGGTGCTGTAGACTTTCATCAGCAGCTGCCTTCATTTTCTTGATACTGAAGAACAGGTGGACAGAAGGGATAAGTAGCTGGGAATTCTAGCTGTGCCGTCAATCATCCAAGAACCAGCTGCCTAACAAATATGTAGAAGGAAATGGAGACGTATTGGACATACACTAAATATCTCATTCAGTGAAATCACGTGCCTCAAGCGGGACCCAGACGTGAAGCGTCCTAAGGTGACTAGGAGGATATCGTATAAAGAAGAGATAAAAGCTTGTGGACAGTCGTGGAGCTAGCTGGAAAGACTTCTATGAACGGAGTGAAACAAAAATGTCTTACTGAAGCGCTATATATTCCCTTCGGAACCCACAGGGATAATAACGATAAGAATATGTGAAGAGTGTAGATTTCAGCTTAACTTTATAAGATTACCTTTAATCGTTTTACAACACACACACACAAACACACTGAGAAACAGCATTACTGAAGGTTTTCATTTAAATACCACTTATACTACTGTCAGATAGATTCTTTCCAATAACAGAAACTGTGTCAATTTGCCTTATTTCATGTAATGGCAACAAATTAACACCAATCTGATGGCACTGTTATTATTATTATTGTATCCTTTAATTACTAGAGGAGCATAAGGATTCAGCCGTGCGTATCCATTCCGTTCGGTTTTCTGCTAGAGTCTTCACCTGGTTCCAAGTCTTCCCACACGTTTCCATCTCCTCTTCACATGACCTCCTCCAAGTCACCCACCCTCGCACTGACCACCAACTCGCCGCTTCCAATACAGTCGGGTTCCACTCGAGCGATGGCCTGTCACTCACTTGATGGTTTGTTTCCTCAAAGTATGGCCAGACAATCCATCTCCATTTGTCTCACAATTGGTTCTTGCTGAGTTGGCCCGCTCATTGCCAGAGATCCCTCTCTGTTGCTGATCTTTTCTGGCCGGCCGGCCATCTGTTCTTGAGTGGTATTGAGTGAAGACAACTGTTGATGAAGGTGTGTAGTTTGTTTGAGATACTCTTCATGACGCACTGGTCAAGTTTCTGATCCGTGTAGTGAGTAGCACTGACTGACTTCACATTGGAGTTGAAAATCCGGATCTTATCTTCTTTTTGATTCTGAGTGCTGTTGACCTCCTGTACACAGACTTAAGAGTAGTGAAAGCTTGTCTTGCTTTTCCGATTCTTGCTGCTTTGATATTCTCGTGAGTTCCGTCGGCCTGTAGTTGAAACGATGCTTCCCAGGTCGGTTGGTGAAAGAAGTTGTTTCTTTCAGGTTCCTTCCATTTATGCTGGCTGATTGTTGTCTTTTGTTGTTGTTGTTGCTGTTGGTGGTGTTGGCCAGGAATCTTCATCACCTCTGTTTTCTCTATGTTTACCTGAAGTCCTTCCTATCTTCTCCGG